ACAACACCGCCCCGATTGCAAAGGTACGATCCTCAATTCGCGTTGTGTTCGTCGTCGGTCTAATGTGCAATGTTCGTGCGCGCCAGGCAAGGCGGTGGTGGCTGCATCGGGGGGGCCTTGGGCCACAGAGAGAGAGAACAACAAAAACAATAACAACAACAACATTTGCCGCATTTGTACGGGGGGAGGGAGTTTTCATGCCCACTATAATTGTTATCGGACCTTCGATAACGACGTGAAATCGTTTCGAATTGTAAAGACTGTGTTTGAGTGTGCAATGCACGTGTGTGACATTCATAATCGATACGTTAAGCTATCGTGTCTGTCTGTCCGCTTGATACAATATATATTACCAGACCTTCGATAACAAGACGTAACGCAGTTTAGAATTGTCGCGAATGTTGTTGAGTGTAAGACGTTTGCGTGTGGGTATGTAATGTGCGTGTGTGTGTGTGTGACACATTCATGATCCGTTAAGCTCTCGTGTTTGTCCTGATTATGATGGTTGACATTACTAGCGAAAGGTCAAACTCAGATTGTAAATGTTGTGGATTTGCTATCCAACACACAACCGGTGTTGCTGCTGTACTAGTGACGAATTGCCCACGTTCTGTTTACTGGTTGGCTGTGTCGGGTGGTGGCGGGTTTAACGACACAACATTAATATAATAAGATAGATAAAAGGGTAAACAACAATTAGCATATTTTGCTGCTGGCAAAGGAGGTTCCAATGGTGAACATTTATATATTTACGCGATCTAACCCAAAAAAAACTCTATTTGTGTTAATGTGTCTGCTTGGGGCTGGCGATTCCTGTTCGGTTTAATCATTTACACTGTAATTAATTCACGGAATGCGAAGAGTATTTGATTTTTGTATTCTTTTTTTTACTATTTAACGGATAATTATTTTACGAGCGAGCTCTATTAATAGTGTCTGCATGCTATGCCATACCTGTCAACCCCTTGTTAGTGCTCTTATTTATTACAGTCCAATTCAGATCTTATTGGTCACCCCGTGTGCGCCTTATACATTTCAGTGTTCATCATACAACGTCCCATCATCACACAAATAGACCATATTCTTGGTTCTTTCGGTAAAGTCACGTAGAAGGGAAATAATACAATAATAAAAATAGAAAACAATAACATTATCACGACGTTTCCACTGCAACACAAGCAATCATCATCAGGTGTGATGATTCATCAGGTGTGATGATGATTGCTTGTGTTGCAGTCAAAACGTCGTGAGAATTTTATTGTTTTATATTTTTATTATTTCCCTTCTACGTGACTTTACCGAAAGAACCAAGAATATGAATCCCTGCAGTCACGAAAGCTTTAAATAAAAACACAAATAGACCATGTTTTGTTTGTTTTGCCCAATATTGAAACGGCTGTACGCCTTATGGACCTGAAAACTCAATTTCCCTGTACAAGAATAGGGGGTAAACCGCATGGGTTGTACAAGTTTGCTGTGCCTGCATCCCCTGAGCTTATTCAGTGTAATCAAAACAACCGTACAAATGTATAATTTTGTTATTGTAGTCAATGAATGAGCGATTTCATCGATTTATTAATTCGTAAGTTAGATGCTTTTTTACGTTGTTAAATTTTGTAAAAGAATGCGTGAATAAATTAATGGGAGATTAATTGGGTTAATTCATTTACCTGCCTCACCTGCCCTGCCTATAAAACGCATTAAGTGTAATTTCTTATTTAATTCGACATTTTAAATGCATACAAATATATATTTTTAAAGAATATTAAAGGTGTCTCACATAACTGGCCACTGCATGGTATACTGTACTGGATATATGTATTTCCCTGCCAACATCATATCACTGCCAATGTACTACTCTTGGCAACTTCAATAACAACACGGTAATATGCTAATTATATTGAGACGTAGTAGTGTAAGCACTTATATAATGTACATAAATACACATTTTAATGCAGTCCGTTGAAAAGCAGTGCTAATTATCAATTAACGCTGCCTTACACGGTACCGCTGCCGTAACTGCCCCATGTTATCGATACTAAATTCGATTTCAATTGTGTTGAGGGTGGATGTGAAAAAAAAATACACCGTGGCAAAGGCGCAATTATGCCGCACCTGGCATTTTCGTGGGTTTTTTTTAATTATTAAACGTAATTGTGCGTTGCACTTGTAAGCACACAAAAAGGTCACGCTCATGAAGACGACGTCGGTGGTTAATTTCACTTCGCACCATCACCACCGTGATGTTTTATCTCGGTTTGTTCTAAACGTGGATTGATTGGGGGGTGGCGGGGGGGCATCTCCACGCGCGTGGTGTGTTGATGGTGACGCTGGTGATGATGAGAACCAGTGTCAGGTTCTCTCCGAGTTTATTAATGGCAACCGTGTCCTAGACCGGCATGTACCCCCCCCCACCCCCCCAGTTCGTCGTCACGTGGCCCCGTTTGGCTTTTGTCCTGTGAGCCGTGGCGAAACGAGTGGCTTATTCCAGGGGGGGCAGTGAGTGGCTATGTCTGGCTTTTCCCACCAACCCACCACCACTCACCCCTCCCTCTCTGGCTCCTGCTGATCCCCAAACCTCTCGCTTGCGGATGAGTCAGGGAGGTTGAAAAAAACCAAGCGAGAGAGGTGGTGTTGCTGCTGCTGCTGCTGTTGCTGCTGCTGCTGCCATGGCCGTGGACCTGGTCGTCAGTGGCAGCAGGCCCGGCACGGGGAGCCCCAAAACGGCCCGCGCCCGCTACCGCGTGCGCTCCGAGGCCTCCTTCGTGGAGGAGACCCTGTTTGGTGACCCCTCGGGCCGCCCTCTGCCCTACGTGAGGCCTTTCGAGGCACCGTGGGCTGGGTCACCGCGCCCGACCTCGGCACCTTCCACCGTGCCCTCTACTCCGAAAACGCCGAGCGGCAGCGGCATGCCCATGACTCGGAATAAGTACAGGTACGACAGGTGAAAACGATGGGGTTTGTGATCCGTTTTCGTGTTTGGTGATATCCCACTAAAATAACTGGAAATTGTTGCAGATTTTTTTTATTAACCGTGCCTCTAACACCAATATTAATACTGGAACGTAGAGTCGGTACGATTCACGATTTTCAATCGCCTATTGAGATGAAATTACAGGGTGATACAAAAAATGGGGCTTCTATAAAAAGATCACCCAATGTCACACGTAACCACAAATGCCTGTCCAGTAATTAACTGATTAACGTTCTTTCAAGCAATGCATTGCCAATTTTCCAGTGGATATACTGTACTATATTAATAAGATGCCAGAAACTGGTTTGGTAACAAGAAAACACTGCATGTGATGCTGTTAAATAATATGCGGTCGGGGAACGATTCAAGTGGCAGATTGAACGGCTTTCTGCTAGGGACTGCTGTCGAATCGGATGATTTTCAGCAGCAATTTGGAGTGCAAATTTCCTTTCGTATGGCCCATTTTAGTTTGCATGGGAGTGTAGTTAAAACATTCAATATTATACCTTAAACGGTTGGGCTGCATAAATTCCAGTTTTACTTACTCGATCTGGATTTGTTTTGTTGACTAGAAATGTGTTTATAATCGGTTTCTAGAGTTATAAGTGCATTGTTTGCAACCATCATTAATAACACTGCTTCGTAAGATGCTAATTAATATTACGTAAGCCAACAAGGATACAGTAGTCGACAAACAAGGCACATTTAATGCTGTTAAACTTTGGCCAACTTCCAGCTTGGCCAAAGGCCTGATTGTGCCTGGAGTGAATTCATTAACCATGGTAACGAGCGGATGTTAAATGAGCTGGCATTTTAGAATTGTTACGGTACACTTTAAGCCAGTTTTATTATGGACTGGTGCAGGTTTTAAATAGTTAAACCTTGCACTCATCAGCGATGTCATTGGTTTAACCCGTCACCTGACCTACCCACTGCATGTGATTATGCATGGACTCCTCAATTCTTGCACTCATTTGCATCATATGGTGCATGTGAGAATCAATTATATGCACAGATTTAATATGAAAATAATATTGTTATATATAGGCTACTATTGGGGCAAATAAACCTGTGCAAACAATATATAATACATGAGAAAAAGTACAAACTAATCTTTAAAAATGATACGAAAATCTACTCTCAAATAGACTCAAAATATCGAATCTTGGCAATTTAATCTCTGGGTGTTGGGGGAATGAATCGCTACATGCCAAGTACATGTCACGAACCCTGAAACCGCTTTCCAGTTCTTGCCAAAGCACTGCTTGCACCCGTCTGATGCGCACCGCACGTCGGCAAGGACGCGCGTGAATCTTGGCGGGCACTGAACTCGTGTGCTGGTTGCGCAGGCTGGTGAAGCACTCGCCCACGTACTGCGACGAGATGCTGTTTGGGGGACCGCTGGCCGACTCGGGCTGGGATCCGCCGTGGGTGTCGCGCGAGGAACGGGGTGTGCGCATCAAGCCGCTGCTGTGGACGCCTCCGTCCTACCGGCCGCACCGCGCCGAGAGCGAGCACAAGAAAAACTCTCCGCCGCTCAAGGCCCCGCACAGAATGGCTCCCCTGGAAACGGCACCCATCGACGGGCGGCCAAACTTGGGCTCTGCCACGGCGTCGACAAATGGACGCGGCGCGGGCAGCGGCAGCAGCCACAAGTCAAATCAGCCGGGGAAAGAGAAGCACCATCGGACTGTGAGTTTGGGAGCGCACGGGGTGGCGGGCGACCTCGTGGTTTGCGGTTCTCGGCCCTCGTCTGCCCGCGGGGACTTTGCGAGGCCGCGGCTGGATGGCCGGCGAGAGTCTGCGGCCTCTCAAACGGAGGTGGTTCGGCCTGGGTCTGCACGCAGGCCACAGTCGGCGCGGCTGTACGGCTCGACGGGTTCGCTAGTGGCAGTCAGGCCACCCTGGAGGTGAAGGGCCAAGATAAAAGGTGGTGGCCAAATGAAATTGGGTTGTCGATTTGCGAAGCATATGTGGCACCCGCAAAACAAACGAGCAACGGTCAAAGGAACAACAAAGGCAAAAGGACATCTTTGTGAAATTTTATCTGTAAAACAGGGTTCTTTTTGAAACAACGGTTTCTAAATATTACACGAGTACGTCTTGATATTTAAAATTACTGGTAGAAAGACACTTTAATGAACAAAAGTGTAAGAGTAACAATTCCAAAATGTCAGTGAAGTTGTCATTTCACTGTTGTGTTCCTTAGCTTGATAAGTTAACCCTGCTGAGGCCATCATACAAATGGGATTTGTACTTTCAGTGCAGTTTTGCCGTATGTACTTTGCATTATAGTTGTGTTCATTCGTTTTTAATTCCGTTATTTTTCTTGTATAGATTGCCTTTAACTTTCCTCTTCAGCACTTTCAGGCAAGTGAACGTGAATGACTACTGTATTTAAACTTAAGCTTCGTGATTTGAGCTGCTACATTTCAACATGGCGTTGCATTGATCAATAGGCAGATTATAAAAAGGTGTGGAAATATTGTTTTTAATTGTGAATAAAACATGTGCCAAGACATTTTTTTAAAATGTCAATTTGTGTGTTGCTATGGTAATGCCGTTTGAGACCAACCTATTAGTGTCATTTTGCAGTGAAGGAATGTGTCGAGAGTTTGGCACAAGACGCTGTGTGTATGCATCCATGTGTCCTGGAGCCTGACAGCTCGGGTGAGGTGTGAGAAATAGTATTTGCAGAACAAAGTAACAGGTTTTTAAATGTTATGCAACCTTACCGTTTGTAGGCTTTAAAAATAAACAAACGCTGGCTTTACAATAGTTGCAGCAGAAAAATACAGTGATCGCACACATACAAAACATTCATCGGTGATAAAAAAAAAATCTTAAAACTAGGCTGCAGTATTCAAAACACGTAAAACACAGCACCGACTGCAATAATTGTTAATGTGCAGCACAATTAGATTGCTTTCGCTTTGTGCACTGGCTATTTCCATATATAAATACAGTACAAGCCATTTGTACAAAATTATAAACAAATCAAGTGTCATTCAAAATAATGTAGACGTTTAATCTTGCTTAAAATCCAAACCTAACCCTACATTTCAAAAGATGTTCTTGCAACTTAAACATTCTTTACGTTCATGGCTAACAAAATCTACTTGCATTAGTGACCTAAATTCTCTCGCATGGAGATAACATGAAATCGCCCGTCCACTGGCATGTCAAATCTCAGAAGTAAAAACATAATAATTTCGCTGGGACAAATTTAACGCACGCTAGCGAAAGCAAGCGAAAACGAAAGTCCCGATTGCACCACGTTAGTGAACGTAAACACAAACCACGAATCGCGCTGTTGATCGACTTAAAATCTAATGATCTGGAACTCTGTGAGGAGCGCGACGGTGAGGAAAGCGAGGTAAAGTGCAAAGAGGCAGACCCCGTATTTGCGCGTGAGGTAGAATCCCTGCAGTGGCAGTGCCACGAAGGACAGCACAAGGCTGATGCCAAGTGACACGCACAGCACCCACACCAGCGGTACATCCGGCACCAGCTGCACCGTCGAGAAGGGTGGGGGTGGCACAATAAGACGCACAAAGGGCACAACATTACGCGTGTGTGTACATGTACAGCCCTTTTTTGTTCCAATCCACAGCAGGATGAGTGCCGTCCCCATGCTGTGCGGATCGTGGGCGGTTAATCGACCATACTTCACCAAGCTGGTCAGTTCGGGTTACAGATGTTTGAAAATAAATGTAAAAATTTAACTAAACAGATGTGCTCACTGGTGTGCCATACCTCATGTCTAAACCGTTTTGCATCAATTTTGTGTGTATACATAAACATGCACAGCCCTTTTGCCAATCCACTGCTGGATGAGAGCATCCCTGTGTTGTGCTGGTCATAGCGGGCCACTGCATCGTGTACTTTCAGGTGTTTCTACGGCAGTCGAACACCCTTCGTATATTAGGAAGCCACTGAAAGCTATACATTTTAAAATCTAGATTGAAAACTCATTTCTTTAGAACTGCTTTTTGTGTTTAGTTTGTCCTTCCCCCACACCTCCGATTAGTATGGTTGGCTATGTACGGTGTGAAAGAAGTTCAATGTACATGGTGGTTATTTGTCAATACTTTACCACGCTGGTCAGTGCGAGTTGACGGGCACGGAGTGTAAGACTTTGGAGCATAGCAGAGTACAGAAATCGATTTTGCTACACTCCATTCTGCTGACAACATAGCCATCCAGCTGCCTGCAACACCCGTTTATGCATTGGGGCTGCCTATCCAAGCACTAACCAGGCACGGAACCGCTTGGCTTCTGAGATATAACAAGATCAGGCGCAATACGGGTGATGTTTTTTAACATTGTGCGACTAATTATTAGGCATGTCAATCAATTCCTACGCTCGCATATAACAGTATAGGAGAACGGAATATTTTATTTTATTGAATCATGACCCGTCAAATCACGACGATAAAGCACAGGGATGGCAAAACTATGATATCGTGAAAAGCCATAACAGTTATGGTCCAAGCGTTCTGAACGTGTTGTGTGCACGGCCATACCTGCTGCACGTGAGAAGGGGGCATACTGAGCAGGCAACCCAGCCCAATCCCCACCAGGATGTCTGTGCAGACAGTTAAGGCTGCAAATGAGGTCTCCTGCTGCCCTCCATCTCGTCCTAGACATAAACACAAATATTCCCGTATAGCTGGGCAAGACTGCCGAGGCAAGTGCTGTTAACGAGCACACCGATTGAGGCTGACACGATGCGCAAGAGAGGTTGGTGTGGATGGCACCATGTCCAAGCCACCTTTGACTCCCAAGTGCTGATATTCATGCTGCACCAGGTACTTATTTATGACTGACCATTTCAGGTATAACTGGCCTAATGTTAACTGTGGCTTGGAATTTAACCCATATTACTGGGTTTGTAGCACAGTGTAAGAACCACTGCACCACCACTGAGGCATTTCTCTTATTTACTATTCAGCCACACCTGGCTTTCAATTCTGAATTAAAATGACAACGTTCGGTTTTAAAACTACAAGTTCCAAACTTTCCCAGACACACCATGCACAGACTAAAATGCAAGTGTCATTCAGAATGTGGGCACAAATGTTGCAATTTAAGAACATATGTGTTTGAGTTTGTTTATTTTTAAGCGAGATTGATCGGGAAAGAGTTTCTTGTTTTTCTCATTGGAAAGCAAAAATAAAAAGTGCTATAAAAGCAAATTCTTGTATTCACTTAATCTTAAAAAAAACGGCTAAATACTTCCCATACGCTAAATACGTGAGCCACCAAGTCTGCCCTCTTATGAAAGGTAATAACTCGGAGCACGAAGCACAAGGCCTGAAAACAAATCACGTGCCCTCGTGATGTGGTAGAGGAACTGTGAAAAATTGAGTCATTCAGGTATTTCGAGATACGTTTGAAAAAAAATACCCTTTCAAAAAAAATCCTTTTATATACAAACGAGTTCTGGATGCACGCTTGCCTGCCAGTCGGCTGTTTTCACTTCGATGTCTCTCCAAGCCATTCCTTTTCCTGTGTGGCCCTTCCTTCTCACTGACAATAACCCCTTTTCAGGCACAACTTGCACAAAATGAAATACAAATCCTCTAATCATCGCAATCGTGCAGCCTAATTCAAAGGGACGCAACTCGTAAAACGTATCTTGTGGATACGTACCTAGGCTGTGTGGTACAAACTGTCTGACGCAAGTGCATAATTGCATTAATTATCAAATATATTTTAGGTTATGGTCAGCAGCACTGTAGAGATGTATTGGAAAGTATGGAAATGATCTAGATCATGTATGGGAGTGATGTCTAAGTGAAATCCGTGGTATAATAATGCTCTTGACTATGTCTTTGAGAATGCCTTTTTGAAAACAACTGACACTTCAAACTCATATCGGATAGCCTGTGACATATTTTGCAATTAACGTATATCTGCAACATGAACAGTTATTTGTTATTAGAATCGCATCTTTAATTACAAATGACGCGATTGGAGAAAAGGATACTGAAGACGATGCCACCAAAGCACGCGGAGATGGCCATCCGTGGGTAGCCTTGTCTTGCCATCGTGATGTCCGCCACGAAGTCTGCACATGTGCGGGGGACAGTGGTTAGGGGGAATGGTGCCATATATTTGACCACAAAACAAATTAGATCTTCTGGACAATCAAAAGTGCAGTGTGACGGGCACAAGTGTGGCACCCTTGTGGTGTGTTGGATTTCAAACGCTTGGCCGTGCTTACAGTGTCGGTGTGTTGACCAGGAAAGGTTTATCTATCTGAATGAACATCAATCCGACACCGCACAGAGCTTTGTCAGTCTTGCCTCACCGGGTGGGTGTTTAAAATCATAGGGGTTTACCCGAGGTCACCAACTATGCTGCAATATATTTTAATTTGCATGTATGTACAGTGCAGGACAGATCTATGCATTATTGTGGTGCAGCAGCCTGCAGCTTTATTGCAGTATAGCGTGGCGCCGCGCGGCATAGCATGGAGTGAAGCGACACGGTTATGTGGTGTGGCATGTGATGCGACGTGGAGAAGTGAAGCGTGGCGTTGTGCGATGCGTGGAGTGGCATGCGCCGTCGCGCTGCAGCATAGCATGGAGTGATGTGACACGGTTGTGGTGTGGCGGTCGCACGTGATGCTGACGTGGAGAAGTGAAACGTGGCGTGTGGTGCGTGAAGTGGCGTGCGGCGTCGCGTGGCGGCGGGGCTGCGACTGTGCTGTGCGGTGCGCTGTGCGCCGCAGCGCCCACCGGGCACGCTGTTCCCCCAGGCGAGCAGCGTGAGACCCAGCACGGTGCTGCTGATGCCGAACACAACGCCGAACGTCTGCAGCAGGTTCACCACTTCGTTGGCAATGGCGTTCATCCAGAGGGCGCTCACCACGAAGCCCACAACCGCGAACGCCTAGCGGGTGCGGGTGAAGCGCAGAACCAGCTCTCAACATTAAGGTTTTGGGTTCCGAGTTATTTACTATCAAATTTGACGCAATGTATGTTGAACTTATTTCGCACCGTACGTAGCCAATCGGAGCTGTGAGGATACAATTTCACTAGGAAATGGTATTTTCAGGATAGAAAATGCAATGGAAATGCAAACTTTCACGCTGTGGTTTAGTTTTTTTGTCTCATTTTGACATCTCATTTGTATTGTTTCTTACATTTCGTTTTGATTGACTCATTACATTATTCCATTCGTTGAAATATAACGCTTTCAAATAATTTTAGAAAAACGGTAAACCGATTCGCACATGGACAGTTCGATGCGTGTATTGTGTGAATAAGAATTGACGAGTCAATGCAAGAAAATATATACGCCTCCTTTTCCCATGATGCACACATCCCACTGTTTTGTACAGGGTCTTCAGATGTACTCTATATATACACACATTTTAAATGTAATGCTATATGAAGACCTCGGGCTAACGTTAATCGCGATACCTAAACATGGTCTTGGCACTGTTTAACTTCTTCCTTAAATGGGCTGCTTCCTGCTCACCAACTAATCTCATGGCCTTCACCTGACTCTTACCACTTCTGTACTGAACAGTGTTAAGAAGTCCGCTCTCGTCACTGTGCAAACCGATGAGGAACATCTTACGAAATATTGCGGTTCCCCGCTCGATGACAGTGGTCGCGCGCTTGGGTAAGTTGACAATTTATGGAAGTGTGCACGCAGTGTGAGGCGTTGAGTGGCAAAGGACTCACCAGTTGAAAGGCTGGCGGTTGCTCGCTGGTCGTCATGAAGGCAATGACGGCCAGCAGGCCGCCAATAGCCAGTATCAGGCTCCAGAGGGGAAGGACACCACCCACAGGTAACATGAAGTCTGGACACGGGCACAGAAGCACGGGACGCATGCCGTTATTTGTTTACGGAATGCACAATATCAAGAATATGTTTAGATGATGATAATGTCATGGGACCTCCTTTGCCAGTAGAAAACATATGATAACAGGTGTTAAGATGTTGGTTGGTGTGGACCAATCAGTTTCAAGGACAATGCATATGTTGTCAGTGTTTTTTGTTTGCATTCTGACCACAAGCATTGTGGTTAATGCAGACGTGATTCCTTGTAAAAGGTTTCAGTTTGGTGTTTTAACATCTTAACACCTGTTTTGTTGCCAGAAAAAAGGGACAAACCCTATTATCATGATGATAATGGTGAGGGAGCAGCATTAGGTGAGAGCTTGACCTCAGATGTATGTTTTGGAGCTGCTAGAACAGTCTTGATTTGAAGCTTTCGTGACTGCAGGAATCCATACTCTTCGGTTCTTTCGGTAAAGTCAGATGACGGACGCTTGTGTTGCGCCCGAAACGTCGTGATTTATTTTATTTTATACCTGCTAGAACAGGTGATAATAAAATAAAACTCGGCACTTGAGGACACTATAGAAAGCATGCAGCTTCTGTGACGGTGATACATATCTCGGCTGTGTGTTGCAGGATGTCCAACACCAGTTTGAAGCTTCATTAATGATTTTTTTTAAAAGATCACGATTGAGCACTACCATTACACTCGTGATATTACTGCATTGACGTATGAAAACGCACGGGAGTGATGTCATCGTGGCATCGCGAGAATGCTATGAGATTAGCGTTCGTAACATAAGTCAACTTTTGGTTTCAATGTTTAAATCTAGAGTTAAAACTAATTTCTTTTGAACTGATTTTGTGTTAATTTGTTATCCGTCTCCCACACCTCCGATAAGCACGGCTGGCTATGTATGATGCGAAAGAAGTTCAACATACATAGAAATGATCCAACTCGTGTGCAGAACCAAACTTTAATGCGACGGATTTTTTGTTGTTGTTCAGTCCTTTGTGAAAAGGCTGAAAACCTATCAACTCTGTACACCTGAGAACACGATTTAATCACAGGTGGGGGCTGAAACCCGGTTTCAAACCCAGGATGTCAGCCAACGCCCGGGCCCAGTGTTATGACCTCCGAGTCACCCGGACACCTCGCTGAAAAACATTCGACGAGACTAGGGCAAGCGTTTGGCTCGGCATTTTAGCGCCTTCCACAGTCGCGGGGACGGGGGGGGGGGGGGTCACGAGTCGACTTACAGAGCCCCCCATTCAGGGAGTAGAGAGCGGCCAGAGGTCCCGTTATCAGCTGCAGGCAGTTGAGTGGGCGATTCCACTTGCGGTCCTCACGCATCACATTCATGACGGGCACCGTAAGAATCAGCAGCAGCTCCACTGGCAGCTGCGGGGGGGGGGGGGGGGGGGGGGGGGAAGAGACCGTGATAACTTGTTGCGGAGGCAATAGAGACGGCGATAACTTGTAACGGCAGCAGCGTTAACGAGATTAGTATCGCATGGGACAGTGATGGCGCGGTGGAATTGGCCCAAACATCCTCCTGCGCAGGACCTCCTGAAAATCGGATGAGACTCAGGCTTTCCTGGGTAAGACAGAGGGCACTATTGTGGTGGTGGGGGTAAAGTATGGGTACTACTCCCATCTTTTCCAAGACGTATGGCCAGTGTAGAAAAATAGGCCAAAAACACCCGGTGAGAGACCCTTCCGCAAATCTTGGTGCGAGCAAGAAATTGCAGGGCTGCACCTTTACAATCAGTTTAACACGTAGGCCTTTGCGATCGTTTTCCATAATAAAGGTTTTTTTGGGTTAGATTGCGTAAAAATATAAACGTGTCGTTAACCAACCACCACCCAACGCAGCCAATTAGTAAGGTTTGTCACGTAAACAAAACTTGCTAATTAGTTACTACTTCAGCACACCGGTGTGTAGGAGATTAAACCCACAACCAGCTGATGAAGCCGGTTATAATCACCAGCGACACGTCGTACTCAAATTGTAAATGTTGTGGGAGTTTTGCTCTCCAACACACCAGTGTGCTAAGGAAGTAACTAATTGGCACATTTTGTGACAAACCTTAAAAATTGGCTGTATCGAGTGGTGGCGGCTTAACAACACATTTATATTTTACGCAACATAACCCAAACACATTTTTACCCTGTATGGGTACGTGGCCGAGCGTCGAACGGTACGCTCGGGGAATGTCTCCCAGCCTCACCACGACGACCTTGAGAAACTTCCAGATGCATCCTCGCCGCCTCCACTCCGCGAGGTCGAGCGGCGACAAAGAAAGCAGGAACCGGTAGAGCTTCCCTCCGCAGCCCAGCGTGGGGCTCGATGGAGCACCCAGCAGTGGCAGGCTCTCGCTCAGATCTCCCACCACTGCGACGGGGTCAGGGTTCAACTCCGGGTTAACAAAGTCACGGTAAAGTCAAAACGTTTCTCTTTATTCTACTTCCCTCCCATGGGCTTGTTGTCTATTTTGCCAAATACTCATAACAACCTTTTCAGTTCAATAAACATATTTTAAGTGTTACCGATGAAAACTTTAATAGTACTGTCTGTTGCTGGCTGCTTGGCACCTGTGCTCAGCAACCATGAATTAGATTAATAGCAGTACTGTATTGCAATAGGGAAACTTTTTCATCATGAGCAGCAGACACTCTCTGTCCACTGATGGATGAAAGCCTCCCCAGGTCGTCGGCATCCCTCAGTAAAACAATTTTTATTCTGAGTTGATCACTCCATCTCCGTGGAGGACGCCCTCTCAGGCATGTATAATTCATTTGGTTGCCATTCCTTCCTCGGTCTCGTTAATCTGCTATCATTCCTCCAAGAAACTGTGTCCTGCACAAACCCACACGTGTTCCTCCTTTTGTCAAGGCCAAGTAACCCCAAGGAAAAGCTGAGGTTTGCCGGGTGTTATAAATATGGGGAATTTTTTTATCAAAGAAATACATTTTGTTGCGATAGCGGAAGGTGATGCAACAAATGATTGGGACAATAACAGATGTGTTTGTTCACTATACAAGACTTGATTAGTGTATGTTAGAATTGTTTTACGCGGTCGGTTCATAGACACCGTGCAGGGCCATGGAGACCACAGAGTCTGTATCACAATGGTACAAATAATCGACTCTTGAGATTTGACCGCGACTGAATGTCAAACACATTCCTGCGGAGGGAGCTGGTAGGAACGTTGGGTTGCTCGGTCAATGGCCAGGGTCAACGGCGGCGTGGTGTATTCCGCAAATATGGCCGACTGTGAGGGCGGGCACAAGCCGGCGTGAGTAGGTTAAACGTTGAGTTTTATAAGGGCACCACGGGTGACCAGCCCCACCCCCTCCCCACCCCCTCCCCACCCAGCCCCTCCCCACCCAGCTCCTCCCCACCCAGCCCCACCCCACCCTCCCCACCCAGCCCCTCCCTGCACGACGGACGGCCACAATAATCCCCTGTGGGCTGGTGTAACCAGGAGGTTCCTACCAGTATTAGAATAGTATATTGTATGAGATCGTAAAAAAAAATCTCATGATGTTTTGGCCAATGTACCTACATTGTACTGATGTTGGTCCTGTCCCATGCTTCTTTGCAATGTCCTTTTTTATTTAAGGAGATGATGGCTCATTGTTGACGTGTTTCTATGTTTGGACCGGGGGGGCGTGCATCGGCAAACCTTGCTGAATGCTGGCGACACGTCGCCGAGGTTCGTCGTAATCATCGTCGCTGAGGTTGCCTAAAGCGGAGGAAAAAAAATTGCATCGCATCATTACCATCCTTTTGTCAATACACTGCTGAATGAAAGCCTGTCAATGCTCACAGGGGTTATCGAGCCGTACTTCACCACACGAGTCGGTGTGCTATGGTTAAAACTGGGTTGGAAAGAAGTGGAATCGTAGAAGTACAATACAATATTGGATTTTTTTGCACCGCCCTTGACTGCCCACCCACTTTACGCTGCAGCCTGTTTTACATCCTGCTCACCCGTCCATCCATTATCCAGTTTAAATATGCTTAGATTCTAAGGTCTGACAAAATCGGGTACATTTTGGGTGATTTGGCCATTGGCCATATTCACCTCGTAATACACATTTGCCAGAATAATTGTACAAAGCGGACAGTTTTTGGGTGTGTTGCACCAGGAGGAAAACCTATTTGTTTAATTGGTCCCACGCAAATCAATGTCATATGGAGCTGTTCCCTCAGTTGGGGGGGGCAGCCACTGGTGGGTGTCGTGGTTGTCCAAAACCCCCAATCTTTTTTTTATACATGACTTACAGATGCAACATTGTAACAAAAAATAATTTCGTATTTTTTGAGTCTGCGTTTTTCTCCCTTTCAATAAGGTGACGTAAAAGCTGATGATGCTAAACCTTTAAACAGTACACTCGGTACTCATTCACTATTAGCCAGTAGTTTTGTAGAATTTTGTATAGTTTTAATCTAAGCAGAACTCCTCTTATCTTGGCTAACGGGGGAGGGGGGGGGCAGAGGCAAACGTCATGATCTGCAATCTGACTAATAATGGGACTTGAACCGTTGACTTTAGTGAAGGACGCTCCTCAACTTCTAAAGTGTGGCTGTACCCCTGTCCTCCCCTCCCCCTCCGGTGTGCTGCGTGTGCGCGGTGCACATACCAGGCCCCTCGTAATCGGGCAGCGTGCCTTGCGAGAACCACGTGGCTTTCTGCCGCTTGTAAATCCAGCTGCCAATGAGCACCGTCGCGACGTAGCCTCCGTACAGGCCCAGGTACCCTTGGGACGTCGCACAAACACAACCAAGAACCAACCGATTAGCATGGTTGGCTATGTACGGTGCGAATGAAATTCAACATACATGTGATGAACCCACAAACAAGAAGTCTTATAAGGTCGCTGTGATTACAATAACAAAAGGCTTGCTTATGACAGCAACAATCCTGGCACGGGTTTTTATTTTTATAAGGGATGCGGAGTTGACCACATTAATAGAGCTGGTGTATTGAGCCAGCATGAAGTGTGCCTATTACTGGGTTTCCATTAACAAGTATATGAAATAACGCAACTTATTTGAATCTAAATATCCGTGATTCATTTGAAAACGTTTACTCGGTTACCATTTTCTGAAACGGAACTGTTTATTTTCAGTGGCTGCTATTGGCATCGTGTGCTGTGATATAAGCGTGTTTTTTTACAGTACACATTTACTTGACATGAAGGACCCACACACATCTTTGTCCGGTTTGTAAATAGGATACATTTATTCTAGATTTGAAGCTTTCGTGACTGCAAGGATTCATACTCTTAGGTTTTTTCGGTCAAGTAGGTAAATAGGATACATGTTGAACAGTCCTATTGACTTGAATAAACAGCGCTTATTCAAATGTGAATTGGAAACCTGGTACGTTGCATACGCATGGGACGGAGATCGCTAGCTTGCCATACTTCCGTTTGCTACGATGCAATTTGGATTGATACAGTGTCGTCTAAATGTCATGCTGGAAAGAAACGGACCATAGAAAGCAGGGGGGGGGGGGGGGTAGTTCCGGGATATGGGGGCAGCAGAGCAGAACGGGCAACGTACCGATTGACTCGCCCATGTCGATGTGACCCCGGTAGAGCACGAAGAACGTCCAGAACACCGCGACCAGGTAGAAGACAAGGTCACGCAGGAACGGGCGCGAAGGGATGAAGAAGTGGTCAACCCACGCCACGCTGCCGGCGACGATTGTCGTCACAAAGATCCCCGCGCCTGGGCACGTGACAACGGGGTCATGCACGGTGGGGGGGGGGGGGGGCAAGCAAGAAGTTGCAGGGCGTTCGACAATCAAATGTGTGCGCGAGGACTCTGACCCCGTGACGCGAAACCGCTCGTTCTGTGCTACCGAGCACGAGGATTAATGTTTCATCTCTTCTGAGTTCAAATAAAGTTTAGTGGCACGAATTGCACTAATTATTTAGACATTATGAATGCAAGGAACATTATCTTCTGTCTTATAGTATTTTATTGAGAACAACAAGTACTATTTTAAACTGTAAGCCACATGATTGCTGCATTTTTCGTACAACGGCTTTTTGTTTCATTTTGCTTGATCATTCGACCGTACGCTGCAATTTTTTACGCGCAATGTTTTGCATTGTTTTTTTGTGAGCTGTCTTATTTTTTAGGAGACTCTTGGTCTGTGGTGAGCTCTCACCTGTTTTTTAGAAACATTATACGACTACTATTCCTGATGCTACTACGATTTCTGAGCACACGTTGGCGCAGAGACACAGGCGACGATTTCTGAGCACACGTTGGCGAAGAGACACAGGCGGCGCAGCCGAGAAGACGCTGGCCCTCGCGTTTTCACAGTTGTCCGCAAATCACAGACGCACGTACCGAGCAGAGCCCCGATAGCCAGGCCACCCGTGCGGGGGTCGGAGAAGGCGGCGACGGCGCTGAAGACATCCGGAGCGCCGTTGCCAAACGCCAGCAGCGTCACGCCGTGCACCGAGAGGGCTGTCAAGGAACACTTCGATTGTCGCGCGCGGCACACGCAAGCCCACGGACTGAGACGAAGTGGCATCTTGTGTAACAAACCACCGTTTCTCAAAAACCTGATCTAGCACACGCATATCATTAAAATTATGCAGCAGATACTTATTCTTGAAAGCCTAAAAAATTAAGTGACAGTGATAAAGATAAACCGACAAATTAGTCCAGGGTAAATTTATCTCAAATTACCCACAAGTTTGAACTGCGATTTAAACAATGGTGATGGTATGTATGTTTTTGAAACGCTGTCGTTTCATCGAATGTGTTTCAAATTAATTTAGCTACCAAGACACTGCTAATTATTTGTTTGAAAGGAAAAGGTTAAGGTGCAAGTTTTTTTTATGTTCTTCAGAGCTTTGAAGAAACCAAACTAGCAAGATAAATTATATTCAAAAGACAGGAATGTTGCATTGTTCCAGTGGACATTGGTGTTCCAGGACCACAATTAAGAAATGAATTGAGACTAAGCAACTTGGTGTCCCTGGTATGGAGACGAAAAGATAGCATCAGCCATGCAGACATGTCCCTCCAGATCGGAATGAATCCAATTCAAAAGCGCAATTCAGCTGAATTGGTTAATTCCCAGCCTGAACTTCTGCCAACTTCGCTTGCAACAACAACGGCCTGGGGTGGCAATGGGGGTAGGCGCTGATGCTTGCTGGGTGGGCAAGGGAAGATTAAAAAAAACAGCCGTTAGAATTTTAACTTGCGAAACTGATGTGTGGGGACTCCCATCACGTGTTTATTCACAAACAAGCCTGAAACAACAGGGAGCCTGGAAAGGAATGTGGACTGCCCGTAAATAATCCGGTGGACTAAAGGAGAAATGAACGTGGAAGCTCCCAACCACCCAACCGTCGACATGGATTCACTGTACACGCTGTTGCTTTTCATCTCCTGGCCAGAGTCGCATTCCCACAATGCGATATTCGTGGTCAGTGATTTACAAAAAAGGTTTCTATGGCTTTTAGTTTTTACACTGGGGTATTGTCCCCTCCACCGCCTCTCCCCCCAGGCCATTCCCGCTTGCGCGTGTGTCCAGTTTACCAGCGGCAGATTCCCTATCGGAGACCGATGTGGAAATACACCCAGCCCCATGCCAAATAAAGCCAAAGGCCCTGCCGCTCGCTGATATTAGCGCGCACGCTCGCAGGCGCCGCAGGAAAAAGGATATTGCCACGTTGTGGCTGAGATGCAAGGAGTGCGAGATGGACTCCAGTGCCGGGCAGAAGCTGCGGGAGAGAGATGCACGTCCATTTTAAAATAAAACATTGAGGAAAAGGAGCGCAGAGTGAATTTGAATTGTACCCTCGAATATGAACGAGTTGTTGATTGAAACCTTTACGAATGAAACGTTGCCTTGTACCAAGTCGCCCTGGACACACCCAATCTCATCGGATCTCAGAAGCTAAGCAGAGTTGAGTGCATAGTACTTGGACGAGAGGCTGTCTGGGAATACCAGGTTTAGGTCGAGAGGTAATCAAATTTTGCCACAGCAATGCATTCTTGAATCTATCTGTGCAAAGCATTGAGTGTTTTCCCATTGTATAAATGGGTTTCTTCCTACACTGGCCAAACATCCTAATGCAGGACTCTCTTCAGTCTCAGGTTATCCTGTTTAAGCATTGGGCATAATAATTATATATATATGTGATCAGGTTGATTCGAACTTTGCAAGGGAGACTGAGGAGCAAGCTGATTCATGGCATGCCCACGTATGCACTTTATGTTGAATTTCTTTCGCACCCTACGTAGCCAACCGTGCTAATCGGAGGTGCAGGGGAAGGACAACAAACTAATAAATGTTGACTTAATGGGATAAGCAAGCCTGCTAATGAACAGTCAGATGGGTAGGGTTAATCAACCCTGGCCTCTAATGAGACGGAGTTAAAACAAATCCAGAAATTGGTTGTATTGAATCAATGCTGCTGAAATTGTGCACTCCCAGAAGGCCGATTGGTTGTGAATTTTTTTTTATGTGTGGTGACGGATATGTGAAAGAGACATTGTTCGCTCTTTTTTTTATTCCCCACAACAAGTGATATCCAAACCAGTCCTGGGGTCCCTCCTTCACCAAACCGCAATGACCAGCATAGTGAAGTATGGTCAATTAACCCCCACGAAACATGCCGTAGAGAGGCCTTCATCCAGCAGTAGATTAACAAAGGGCTGTACAATACACACAAGGTGATTTCTAGACCGCAAAAAGGTGCAATTGTGAGCACAGGATCAGTCCTCCCATCACAAGTCACAGTACTGTATCAAATATATTATTTTATTAGTTTAGTTATATTCTCCGCAACCATGCGAATGAGTATTTTGAGTTCTAGAATGAGGGTGGTCGCATCATTGGTAAATCTATACTCGCCTAATAGAGTAAAATTATTTTCCTATCACCGTCCCTGAATTGAGATGCTAATCCACTCCTTGGCAATGGTTTATCTAACTCGGTGGCTGTGTGATGGAAAGGCTGATAACTATTTGGTTTGTGGCAAAGGTTGATTAAACACAAAGGCATGGTCAGCTTAGTCCAGTTGAGCCAATTTGTCAATCCACTGCTGGAGGAAGGCCTCCACATGCAACCATATTGCATCACAGCTGGTCAGTGTGGGTTTATGGACTGGGTTGGCCAAGACCAGTTCAGATCACTCGCAACTGATATTACCCATAAATGGGAACTGATCTCAAGTAATTTGCGTCATAGCCAGCCCAATACAATACACAGTGGAACCGTCATATCACACGTTTACGACAGTTTCAAAATAACGTGCAAAAGTCAGTTACACGAGTTAATCGTCACGCTGAAGCTGATCGTTTCAGTGGCTACGGTCAGAGAGGGGGGATTGCAAACGGTAGTTAAAGGGAGCCATCTGCAGCGGCACATTAGACCCAGGGGGGGCGGGGCAGGGTGGCTTCTCATTGCCATTACCCGAGTGGCATTGGGGCACGGAGAGACGACAATGCCACGTTCTGTAATATCCACATTAATAACTGTTCTAGCAGAGTAGGCCGGGGCTAAGCCGACTCACAAGTTTTCGGCGGTCGTGGACGTGGCGACGAACAGCACGAGCAGCCACAGGCCCTGTGCGAGACGGAGGAAACGGAAATCGCAAGAAGATGTTATACTTAAGCGGAAGGAACTTTGCACACCTGCGTCAGGGGCCTGGCTTGCTCTAGTTTATCATTGTGAAGCGAGAAGGCAGGCAGCCACGTGAGTCGCATGCCATTAGGAAGACAACCCGTCCACCACAAGCAATGCAACTGCCTTTTTGGCTTAAGATAAGAATTGACGGCCTATGTTATCCATTACACGCAGTAATGTTACTGTATAATAGGGACGGGATGAGCATTATCGCTTTATTGCTGGCGTAACGGTTTGGAAGACTTGGTAGGCGTTTAATGTGAGGGCTTACCCATACAGATCCCACCAAAATGTGGGCGCTGTAATGCGTGAGAGTATAGTACAATTTAACCAATTCACTGACAACACAACATCTTTGCTCACAAGATGTACGAGTACTGTAACCTGAAAAAAAACATTCTTAAGCGGTTTCCCACGTAGACAAGCATCGGGAGGCACCTATCTCACGTTTAAAGCCCTCAGCTGGTGCTAGAAATTCCACATTCCTATGGCGGCAGGCCCAACTGTATTAAATGTACTGACCCAAGAGCAAAAAGTAGCTGAGAGGGCAACATCCAGAAATACAACACACATTTCAGATTGCAAGCTGCCGCGCCGCTCTAAACGTTGCACCACTGGACCACACACTTTAACTCCATTGGACAGAAACGCAAAAACGGGAACTCTTGTGGTTATTGCAGGGGGGGGGGGGGGGGGGGGGGGGCCTCACGTAGAGTGTCATGGGCAGCGGCAGCATGCGAGCCGGGAAGTTGCAGAAGGCGATGTGCACGTAGTCGAAGTACCCATCGTGGATCTTGCAGTCGGGCGTGCTGTTGACAAAGTGGCATCGCTCCGACACGTTGATGCTCCGGTAGTCGCGGCACTGCAAGCGACGACGGCACGCGGAGGAGGAGAAGTTCAGAAGAATATTTATGCTGGAGGAATCCGATGACCTACAAAGCTCTTTTTCGCAGATGTCCGGTTGGTACAACAACAGCGATTGCCGGCAGAAATCTCAAGGAGTCTCTCTGCCTGAAAATAATATCGCATGGCTCGGATGATACGGTTGTGTGATGGTTAGAGCATTGGACTTGCAATCTAGAGGTCGATGGTTCGATCTCCCAGGAGTGGCAGTTGAAACAATGAGCAATTTTCTTATATCTCCCCCCCCCCACCTCTGAATGGGTAGACCACTGGTCAGTCGATCTATTGGCAGGTCACGTGTGATGGGGTGAAGTGTAAGTACTCCCACCTTTTGTAAGATACCTGCTCAGGGTGAAATAGTACGAAAAATTTAATCAAATAGCCCCTAGAGAGGCTCTCCAAAGCGTCCTCCAGTGGACGGCCTTCCACCAGCAGTGGCGTAAGCAAGCAATTGCAGGGCTGCCCCTTCACCTTTACAGCTCCCGAAGCACGAGATGTATGCTGCGGTTTGGTGTTGCACAACCCCTTAAATATAATGTGCAACCTCCCCCTTGCCTGCTGCCGAAGGCCGTTTTATTTATCTTTACCTGCTGATAATACACCCAATACTGCTGCCACTTTGAGAAATACAGCACGTGTTTTTTGTTCATTTCACAATTGTTGCATCGCGAGGGATGGCGATGGCTTGTGGAGGCCTTCATCCAGCAGTGGATACATCAAGGCTGATGATTATGACGGTGGTGGAGGACATTTTAAAGTCTTCGATGCTTTTATGAACGATTTTTTTTATTATATACTTAGTCCTCGCAATATATTCAGATGTTGACATGCTACCTCACCGAGATGACACAGTTCCAATTTAGTTGAATAGAACATATGCAGATGTAAGCACATTGAGTAAAACATTTGGTAAAAACTAGTTTTTCAATGCACACTTGTATTTGCACTGACAAGTAGAAAAGACATTACTTTGACCCCATGCAAGTAAGCAGCCGTTTTGCCAAGTTGTAACTTGTTTGCAAATTTTCGGCGGAACCTGATTATAACTCCCAGAACTGCAGAAGGTTTGTTTAAATTTAGTGTTTCTTGGTAAACGGTGTTTTACCACTGGCACTTTTTATGCCTTATAATGCACTTATATGTATTCCTTAATTGGCTAAAACTTTTAAACGATTAATTATATTTGAGAAATTATGATTTTTTTTACCTTTTTAAAATGTATTCATTTGTATTATTCATTTATTTTCTCTTATGTTTTATCTCTGTCATGGAAACGGTGTGTTTTTTATTGATGAAACACGACTTAAAGCTTCCTAGCTCACAGGGTACTTCAATATAAACTTAACTGAAGAGTGTGTTCGTGTAAATCACGGACGTAGAGTATTTGGGAGTACTGTCCACTGGTCAAATACCTTATCAAAGCAGGAAATAGACCCAGTGCCATGCATTATAGGATACCGACTGTAGCGTTGATGCACCAGCAGTGTATAAACTAAAGTTTGAATGGGTAAGACATTTATTGAAGATGACCCTCGCTCAGGACACTCTGTGGAAGCAACAAAATCCAGAAAGGTAAAAAAAATGAGAATCTGGTTCAGAAAGATGGATTTTTTTTATTGTTCAAATGGCTCGCAAATGAGATATGGAACATGACAATAATGTAACACAGTGAGATGGAAACGCAACTATACTTATATAGTAATGGTGGCAGAATTTACTGTCAATTGATTGTATATCTACCACCAATGGATATTTATTAGCAGACCGTTAGTGGTGAAGAGTAGTAGAACTACAAGGAAACGCTTTCCTGTGTAGACATAAAAACTCTAAATTTTGCTTGCCAAATTCTACACAGTTATATGGTACTAAAGTGGCCGCAACACGTGCATGGGTTGTATAATAAAGCGTGGCTTGTAGGACTACTCTTCCCTTTACTCGGCAGGAAGCAGTGGAGTACATCAATTCCTCGATGTTATCAGAATATTTACAAAACGTAAAGTTGCTACTGGCACACAAGGACAAAGCATCAAGTTAAGACCTTTGTCAATAACACTGCCCTGAAAAAGAAAATGTACACTGTAATATTCCACATCTCTGTGATATGTATAAGAGCCATAGCACGAAATGTCACCTATGGTATATGTTTCCCATTTAGGGCAGTAATAGGGATGATGGCTTTGAGAGTACCATTGGATAAAGGCACTTACAGGTGTAATGGGAGAGTGGGAAACACCACGTAGGGTTATCTTGTTATTTTCTCTCACAGCTTGGGATAATTTGATATTTTAAGCTTGGATATAGATGTGCGGTTACAAGGTATTTAAAAAGCACCTCAAGATGCTTTTTTGAAATGGTGAGTCAGAGATTGTGTTGGAACCGCTTTTTGCTAGCATGTTAAGAATTGCATTTACTACGGAGTAAATAATTACACTTTGCACAAAACCCTTTAACATTCTTTCACCCCCCCCCCACCCCATTATTTTCCCCTTGTTCTGTTGTTGGGATTCATTAGCCTTAGGTTTCCAAACCACCTGTTGTGAGTCGATCTGCTGATTAAAGAGACTAATCCGTGCATTTCCATGCATGTGGCCTAAACAATGTCCATGACCTGCTGTTGATGCCATATTAACACTTCAAAGGAAAACTAGAGACAAATGGTAATTTGGCCTCACAAAGGGAATGGTCATTTATTTGTACAATGGCATTTCTGGGACAGGAGCAGAAAAAGTGGAAATCTGGGACAGCAAATAAATGTCCAGTGGGTTGTTTGAAGAGAGGGCATTCTAATTCACTTGGCAGTGGCAGCTTCCGCGGATCTCTATAAACAAATGACTATGGGACTAAAGTTCACCCAGATTAGCAGAGTTTGGCTGACCCATTGCCTACAGGAGGTGGTTTTTCATCATGTGGCGCGTGTAAGGGTAATTTACACGCCAGTTACTGGCGCCAGCAATACCTCGTATGCAATTGGTTCCCTAAAACGTGTATCCACTGCTGTACGAAAGCCTTCCAAAAGCCGTTTCGATCATGGGGGTTGCTTGTGCCATACTTCACCACGCTGGTCATGGTGGTGGGTTGGTGGCGAGGGGCATGCCTAAGACTCAGTTCAGATGGCGCTAATCACTGCACCACTGCTCCCCCCGCATATACGGTATACGTACTCGTGTTTACTTATAACCCATCAGTACATGTAACAACTGTACTTACATTTTGATTTAAAGCTTTCGTGACTGCAGGGATTTATATATATATTCTTGGTTCTTTCGGTAAAGTCACGTAGAAGGGAAACAATAAAATAAAAAATATATAATATATTGTTTTATATTTTTATTACTTTATTGTTTCCCTTCTACGTGACTTTACCGAAAGAACCAAGAATATAACTGTACTTAAATGAATGTGTTATACTGTCATTGATTGCATAACAACGTATATCTCAATTATACATGAAACACGTGTGGCGAGTGGTATCTTAACCGGTCATCCGCCTACCCCCAAAACCTTCAACATCCGATATTCACTGTCGTGGTGGAGTAAGGTCAAACAACATCCATGATCCTGACACGGTATGGGCACACAGGCACCTGACTCCCGTCAGCGAATTGACAGCGCCATATCATTATAATCACTACGTACACCAATAATTGTTAGGATAACGCGCGCTCCTTAATAGTACCTAAACGCAAGTGGCTTGTCCACAAATTACTTTTATGATTATAATGTGATGTGTATGGTCAACAGATAGTTGTCCTCGATTCTAAGTTGAAGTAGTTTTTAAAAAAATCTAATTTTCACCTTTCGCCAACCCGCACAATTCCAAGTTTTCGTTGTAAATTGAGCCAAAAATATTTCAACTTAAAGCGACAGGACAGCAAGCATATCCAGAGCAAATAGTGACAATCCATCAATTTCGATTTAAAGCTTTCGTGACTGCAGGGATTCATCTTCTTGGTTCTTTCGGTAAAGTCACGTAGAAGGGAAGTAATAAAATAATAAAAATAAAACTTAATAAAATAATTCTCACGACGTTTCGGCCACAACGCAAGCAGCCGTCCTCAGGTGAAGAACATGTCTGTCGATAAGACAGAGTCTGAATGACATGTCCTAGGCTTGGAGCGTCTATTTAAGCTGGGAGGGAAGAGGAAGAGCGCCTTGACAAAGGAATTTGCATATGAAGAGGAATTTAGCATATTTATGGGAAATGCAAAATCCATCAAATGTAGCATTATGACCACAGCAGCAATAGGCGCAACTCATGGGCGTCAATTCGAGGTGCCAGATGATGCCATGTAGGTAGGTGGCATCAGTGGGGCCAAACTGCCAGTGGTCAATACATGGCGCACGTTTTGGTGGCACGAGTAATCGATAAAGAAGATTTTTCAACGAGGGAAGAGGGCTTCAATCCCAGGGGGTCACTGTCGCAGCAAATGAGACGATTATCCTGGTGGTCTGGCCACCTTGGTTGGGTAGGTCCAACAACGTGAAGGTAAAACATCACTGTGTATCGATCAGTCCTCGAGACTCATCCATACACTGGAATGTTTTGGTGCAAATGCGTTCACGGAAATGTTTGTCTTGTGAGGAGGAAGCAGAGATCACGAAGACACCCCCAAATCGTGCACGTGAGGGTGATGCAACAACAACTATTTTAAAAAAAACCCCTATAAAGTCGTCTTAATTTTACGAGGTTAAAGGCCCCTTTTTGTCAGAGGATATCACAAACGAGAGCTCAACGAAAGTGGCTTATCATCATCATCACCACCACCATCGTGTGGACATGTACAGCAGCCAAATACATCTACAAACGCGTGATGTTGATGACTCCCCCGGAGATCGAATCCTTGCACACCAGGCGAAGAAGGGATATCACAAAGCAACTCTCAAAAACTCCGCACAGACAGATTCAAGAATCCGCCGCGGCTCCACCACCACCACGACGACCACAACAATCTCTCTCACCTCCGATGCTGATGATGAATGAGGATCGTGGACGCTGTGACGGTGTTCTGACGATGCCTCGGACCCCACCACCATCATCATCACCACCAACATCATCGCAGCGACCACGTGCAGCGGCGGGGACATCGTCGTCGTGGTTAAGAAAACAACAACAAATAACAACAATAACCTTGTCCACCAATTGAGGCGGTGCTCACGGCTAGAATGTAAACATCTTAAACGCCGGCAAACGTCCTCGTGCTGCGCGGCATATTCGCGACAGGCGACCCATTAAACAGAAGCGGCTGTGGGTTTTTTTAAAACATAACCACACAAAACCACCAATAATAAATAAAAAACCGCAAATAAATCTGTCGTGTTTGTGTGCCGGTCGTCTGTAATACTACTCGCTCGCCGTGGCGTATTTTTTATTTAGTTGTATCTCTCTCTGTGCGTCTCTTTCTCTCGCTCTCTCTGTGCGCGTGTCTCTCTACGGCTGCGACTTTGAGCACCGCGGCGCTGCGTGCGGCTGCGTCCTCCTCGCAGACCCCGGGACGTGGGGGTGGTGGGGGGTGGGGGGGAGGGGTCGGGGGAGGGGGTGGTCGGGGGAAGGGAGGGGGTGGTGGGGGTGGTGGGGGTCGGGGGAGGGGTGGTGGGGGTGGTGGGGGTCGGGGGAAGGGAGGGGGTGGGGGTGGTGGGGGTCGGGAGAAGGGAGGGGGTGGGGGTGGTGGGGGTCGGGAGAAGGGAGGGGGTGGTGGGGGTGGTGGGGGTCGGGGGAGGGGTGGTGGGGGTGGTGGGGGTCGGGGGAAGGGAGGGGGTGGGGGTGGTGGGGGTCGGGAGAAGGGAGGGGGTGGGGGTGGTGGGGGTCGGGAGAAGGGAGGGGGTGGGGGTGGTGGGGGTCGGGGGAGGTGGGGGGTGGTGGGGGTGGTGGGGGTCGGGGGAAGGGAGGGGGTGGGGGTGGTGGGGGTCGGGAGAAGGGAGGGGGTGGGGGTGGTGGGGGTCGGGGGAGGGGTGGGGGTGGTGGGGGTGGTGGGGGTCGGGGGAAGGGAGGGGGTGGGGGTGGTGGGGGTCGGGGGAGGGGTAGGGTGGTGGGGGTGGTGGGGGTGGTGGGGGTCGGGGGAAGGGAGGGGGTGGGGGTGGTGGGGGTCGGGAGAAGGGAAGGGGTGGGGGTGGTGGGGGTCGGGGGAAGGGAGGGGGTGGGGGTGGTGGGGGTCGGGGGAGGGGTGGGGGTGGGGGGGTGGTGGGGGTCGGGGGAAGGGAGGGGGTGGGGGTGGTGGGGGTCGGGAGAAGGGAGGGGGTGGGGGTGGTGGGGGTCGGAAGAAGGGAGGGGGGTGGGGGTGGTGGGGGTCGGGGGAAGGGAGGGGGTGGGGGTGGTGGGGGTCGGGGGAGGGGTGGGGGTGGGGGGGTGGTGGGGGTCGGGGGAAGGGAGGGGGTGGGGGTGGTGGGGGTCGGGAGGGGGTGGGGGTGGTGGGGGTCGGGGGAGGGGTGGGGGGGGTGGTGGGGGTCGGGGGAAGGGAGGGGGTGGGGGTGGTGGGGGTCGGGGGAAGGGAGGTGGTGGGGGTGGTGGGGGTGGTGGGGGTCGGGGAAAGGGAGGGGGTGGGGGTGGTGGGGGGTGGTGGGGGTCGGGGGAAGGGAGGGGGTGGGGGTGGTGGGGGTCGGGGGAAGGGAGGGGGTGGGGGTGGTGGGGGTGGTGGGGGTGGTGGGGGTCGGGGGAAGGGAGGGGGTGGGGGTGGTGGGGGGTGGTGGGGGTCGGGAGAAGGGTGGGGGTGGTGGGGGATCGGGGGGTGGAGGATCGGGGGGTGGGGGATCGGGGGTGGGGGGGGATCGGGAGGGGATCGGGGGGTGGGGGGGGGTCGGGGGGATCGGGGGGTGGGGGGGGGATCGGGGGGTGGGGGGGGGATCGGGGGGTGGGGGGGGGATCGGGGGGTGGGGGGGGATCGGGGGGTGGGGATCGGGGGGTGGGGGGGGGATCGGGGGGTGGGGGGGGGATCGGGGTGGTGGGGGGGATCGGGAGGGGATCGGGGGGTGGGGGGGGGTCGGGGGGGTGGGGGTGGGGGGGGATCGGGGGGTGGGGGGGGGATCGGGGGGTGGGGGGGGATCGGGGGGTGGGGGGGGATCGGGGTGGTGGGGGGGATCGGGAGGGGATCGGGGGGTGGGGGGGGTCGGGGGGGTGGGGGGGGATCGGGGGGTGGGGATCGGGGGGTGGGGGGGGGGATCGGGGGGTGGGGGGGGATCGGGGGGTGGGGGGGATCGGGAGGGGATCGGGGGGTGGGGGGGTCGGTCGGGGGGGTGGGGGTGGGGGGGGATCGGGGGGTGGGGATCGGGGGGTGGGGGGGGATCGGGGGGTGGGGGGGGGATCGGGAGGTGGGGGGGGATCGGGGGGTGGGGGGGGATCGGGGTGGTGGGGGGGATCGGGAGGGGATCGGGGGGTGGGGGGGGGTCGGGGGGGTGGGGGTGGGGGGGGGATCGGGGGGTGGGGGGGGGTCGGGGGGTGGGGGGGATCGGGAGGGGATCGGGGGGTGGGGGGGGTCGGGGGGGTGGGGGGGGTCGGGGGGGTCGGGGGGGTGGGGGGGGGATCGGGGGGTGGGGGGGGTCGGGGGGTGGGGGTGGGGGGGGATCGGGGGGTGGGGATCGGGGGGTGGGGGGGGATCGGGGGGTGGGGGGGGATCGGGGTGGTGGGGGGTATCGGGGGGGGGGTGGAGGATCGGGGGGAGGTGTAAAGACAAAGGTCCCCCGTGTAGCCGTGTGGGGCTGTCGGGGGCAAGTGCCCTTCGATTTGAGCAGCGACTACGGGGCGGACAACAACCGCGCCCGGCCGCCTTTGTCTCCCCGCGGTGGGCGACGTTGACGACAACCACCGCCACCTACCCAGGTACTCGTTTTAGCGCTGAGTCGACCTAGGGGGGGGATCGAACTCGGGTCGCAGGGTTCATAGCGGAAGTCGGCTGGGTGGTTCATCACCCATCGTGTATCGATTATCACGACAGAGTTCGATTTTTCGTTTCATTATCATCACCAACAACCACCACCAAACATCGTCCAAATCAAACAATTTAACTACGAACAAGACGTTAGCCACACGTGCCATGTGTTCACACGTCTGCACTGTACTGTATGTATCATAACTGGTTGGGTGAGATTTTTAGTTTTTATCACCACCACCACAACCATCAACAACATTTAATGTCAACATCTTCATCATCAACATCGTGGGCGAGTGGGAGGGATCAATAATATTTTATTCGTGCCATCATCATCACCACCACCATCATCATCGTGTTTGTTATTGATGTTGTTGTTGTCTTGTGGTCAATGTGGTTACACCACTGGCATCACTTTGCACGCCGATTCAGTAACATGAACCACTGTGTGTGTCCACTAAATTGAGAGCCTTCGTGTACGAATAACATTAACGAAGGCTCTAAGTTTAGTGGACACACACACAAGCACAAGCTGCTGTTGTTGTTGCTTCATGATTAATGGGGGCAATGAGAGTCCAGCCCCACGTGTCTCTGTGTACAAACAACACAGAGAGACACGTGGGGGTGGACTTGCTGTATGACCAGCACATGTGGTCACTTAAGGGTAGGGGGGAAACCTTTGTAAGAGCAATGTCTGTGTACAATTGTGTGGGGGGGGGGGAGCAGTGGTTGGCATACTCTTAGGTTGTTTCGGTAAAGTCACGTAAAAAAAATATAATAATAAATGATAAATAACTAGATTAAAATGAAAAATAAAAAACAAAAAAATAACTACATTAAAATGAAAAATGTATTAAAAAGAACTAAAAATTTACTTTAAAAAACTAAATTAAAATGAAAAATAAATGAAAATAACTAAATTAAAATGAAAAATAACAAAAAATAACTAAATTATAATAAAAAAGAACTAAAAAAATAACTAAAAAAATCACTAAATTGAAATGAAAAATAAATAAAAATAACAGGTGGGACAGCTAAATTTAGTACTGTATATCAAGTGAGGTTTTGTAAAAAAATTGGGTTACATCGCGTAAATGTATAAATGTGTCGTGAAACCCGCCACCACCCGACACAGCCAATTAGTAAAGTTTTAGTGGTGTAACGTAAACACAACGTGGCAATTAGCTACTGATGTAACAGCAGCGAGTGGCACGTAGAGGTATGGTCGAACAACCCCCTAAATGTGCTGTTAGTGACCTATAAGTATTCATGAATGTTTTTTTATTGATTGTACGTTGAAACTTCTTTCGCACCGTACGTAGCCACCCGTGTACGTATCACGGGATATACTCTGTACACTGTACGTACAATGTGTACAGTACGCACACTGTGCACAGTATATATATACAGTATAGACGTAATGTACACAGTATATATACTGCATATTGTGTTACAGTATGTATACAGTGTACACGCACTGTGCAAACATTGTACAGTATGCATATTGCTGCGCAGAGTACACAGTACGTACTGTACGCAGCACACGCACACTGTACATAGCAAATGTATACTGTACACAGCATGTGTATACTGTACACAGCATGTGTATACTGTACATAGTGCGTATACTGTACACAGCGTATACTGTGCACTATATACTACTTACAGTATGTATTTATACAGTATATAAGTATAGTATTCACTGCATACAGTGTATATAAACATTGTGTACAGTATGCATATAGCGTACAGTATGTATACAGTATGTATACTGTACACAGTGCATACTGTACATAGTGCGTATACTGTGCACAGTGTATATTGTACACAGTGTATACTGTCAACAAAGTATATTGTGCACTATATATACTACGTACGGTATGTATTTATACAGTATATAAATATAGTATTTACTGCATACAGTGTATATAAACATTGTGTACAGTGTGTACTGTACGGGGGGGGCGGTGCCAGTGACGCGCGGCGGCCACGTGGTCACAACAAACGCGCCACGTGCCAGGTCAGAGGGGTTTTACCTCCATACGATATGTGTGTAACGTTATTAGAATAATGACATTAAATCTGGAGGAATTCAACAAAGGTAAATGTTTTGTGGGGGTAGGGGCGTGGGGTGTAACAACACATTGACACATTCAGCAACGTTGAGTTTATAGCGAGAACAACTCCGGGACCGGTTGTCACAGCGAGGCTGGTTAGCGGGCAGAAATTCCGTAGTGCTAAGGACCCTATCAGCCAAACCTTGTTAATAATAATCATTTCCCCTTAATTACAAATGTGAGAATGGGTGAAAGGACTTACGCAAGAATGTAACAAGGGTGCAAAGTGGGGCTAGCTCAACGTTCACCCTACAAAGTCCCATCACAAGGGAGAAACACAAATAGTTGTTTTTTTTCAGGTCCATACGGTTGTATGGACCTGAAAACTCGATTTCCCTGTACAATAATGTGATAAGTTCGCTAAACGATGAAGATATAAACACGTGGGAGTCGAGCACACCTTAGGGCACCCACCTATTGACGGAGGACTGGGATCAAACCACAAAACGGGCCCCTATGAATACGGAGCGACACATGATCTTGTTTCGTACGGCTGATGTAGATGCCAGAGACAGCAACTACGATTTCACGTTCAAGGTGTTCAAGGCAGTCTGGTTCTGGATGGCCACAGTCGCACACTACTGCAGAGTTCTTAATTCTCCATTTGTGCTTCAGGTGTATATCCGCATCTACTGCCCTTGTTTGTGGCAGTGGATTCGATTTAGGATGGACCATGAGCTTCGCGAAAGATCAAACCCAGAGATATTCTGCGTTGGGTCTTTTGAACTCCATTCAGCTCTGCAAGCTTCATCGGGGTTGAAGTCGCATTGTTTAAGGTTAAGCGCATGGGTTCCTCAAAGGGTTTGCGTGACTTCAAGCGATAAATGACGATACGATAAGTGAATGTGTCATGCCCAAATAAGGCTACCCTGATTTGAAGCTTTCGTGATTGCAGGGAGAAAACAAACACATTCCTCCTGCGGAAGGAGCTGGTAGGAACGTTGGGTTGCTCGGTCAATGGCCTGCAGGGTCAACGGCGGCGTGGTGTATTCCGCAAATATGCCCGACTGTGAGGGCGGGCACAAGCCGGCGTGAGTAGGTTAAACGTTGAGTTTTATAAGGGCACCACGGGGAAACCAGCCCCTCCCCACCCAGCCTCACCCCTCCCAACCCAGCCCCACCCTCCCACCCAGCCCCACCCAGCCCCTCCCCACCCCCCCACCCAGCCCCACCCTCCCCACCCAGCCCCTCCCCACCCTCCTCTCTCCACCCACCCCTACCATTTTTGGATCCACGGCGGACGGACGGACACAATAATCCCCTGTGGGCTGGTGGAACCAGGTGGTTCCTACCAGTATAAGGGTTGACACGGCATGCCATTGCATGCCGCGCCATGAGATGGAACCGGTGACCTCTGGATTGCCAGTCCAGTGTGGTCAACTTGGAAAGTTCGGCAAGATATTGGGCCATCGGTTCTAACTTGCAAACGTTGGCACGACGTTGGCGCGACGGTGGCCCAACGTTTGCATGTTTACTGAGCAGCGGACAAAGCACCGGTGCTCGTGAAAGCGATGCGCTACGCCAACACAAGGACGAGTGTGCACAGGCAAAAGAAACAAAAGTGAACATTCGGGTGCATCGATTTGCCATGCGATTCTATCAAGAGGTATCGAGTTTAAGTGTAGCGAGCCGTAAAATAAGCCAATTAGAGGTACAAACATTGGATTTAGCAAGTGAACTAAGCACCATCAACTTTAAATCCCCATGTAAAATCCACGGATGCTCTTTTGTGTTACTTTGTTGTTCAACCACGCGCGCTTTCCGATTATCACGGTTGGCTACGTACGGTGCGAAAGAAGTTCAACACGCACACGTATATACATCGACGTACAACCATTTGCGCTCCGCAAGCCGATAGGGGGCAGCACTTGGCATGGAGCGAGTGATGCAGGGGCCCAGGAATAACGTGGGGGAAAGTGAAGTCACGTAGGTAAAAATAAATAATAAAAATAAAAATTATAGAAAGTGAAGTCACGTAAAAACAAAAATTCCATTATTTGTATTATTTATTTTTTCCTACGTGGGGGAAAGTGAAGTCACGTAGGTAAAAATAAATAATAATAATAAAAATTATAGAAAGTGAAATCACGTAAAAACAAAAATTCCATTATTTTTATAGAAATATTTATTTTTACCTACGTGACTTTACCGAAAAAACCTAAGAGTATGAATCCTTGCAGTCACGAAAGCTTCAAATCTGGAAAGTGAATAGGTGGGCTGGGGGGGGGAGGTCAACAGGGTTTTAACTGCAGCGACGTCGAAATGCTACGTAACCAGCCAGTTGCAACATTTTAAAAAGAGAACATTTTCACATTTATAAATCGGGGTGGCTTGGGGGGGGGGATATTCCCATGGCTGCTGTGTTGTTCAGTGAAGTAGGACATGGTGTACCTGCATCTGAACGTTAATAGGCCGTTGTTGCACATCTCCTTCGTAAGTGGAACATTAAACACGAGCCAATAAAGTCGTGCGGTTTTGGCCCTGCGACCCAAACTATGGCCCATATAAGAGACCCATAGAAACACAGATAAGTAGAGTTTCACATGGACACAAGGAGATACCATTAAAGACAAATCAGTGTGATTGCGGCCATACAACCCAAAATATAAACCACTATACTCCGCGCTCCCTCCAAGAAAGAGGAATAGCAAAGCGACACGAACTTTCACCTGAAGCCCTCCCGTCATGACTCGCAGACCTCGACATTGGCATTTATCTCCTGAACACGTGGGCCATACCCTACATTAGAATAGGGGAAGAGAGAGAACTAGTTTGGGCTGTGATGCGCAAACACTACGGACCGCCACACTCGCCCTCGTGTATTCGACGGGAGAGGATTGCTCACCTGTGTGTGGACGCAGCACTCACACTCGTGTTATTAACACACACCTGAACATCGCAATGCGTGTCATCTCAGGTACACTGAAGTCGACGCCGAACCAGTGGGTCCCAGTGCTCGCCCCACATCGCTCCGCCGCAAATCCGTCGTGAAACAGCGGCCGTCCGGGAGTACCAAATAAATTCTCGTTAACCCCCGCACCTTCCGATACATAGGGACGTGAACCCAGTGCCGCCTGGTCGCTTAAAATCACGCCACCCCTTCTGGATCACAGCAGCCTCACTCCATGCCACAGATAAAAATGAAGGCGAGAGATGGAAGCAAGTCTGAACTGCAGCCGATGTCAAAAGTTAACGTCTCATACAGGACCCTACCGTGGAACCTCCCGGTTTCAACCTTCCACGCCGCCAATGCTCGACCATTAACTGAATCAGGACCGGGTATGGCCGATGCAGCCACCTGATGCACGAATCCCAAACGATCGACCACATTGTTTAACAGCTGCCTTCTTTACTCCTTTAAAGGAGGAACGGACGAGATCCACTCTGCGTCTGAAAAGACAATTGAGTGATTAACAAATCTAAAATTACATATTTAATCTGCTGCTATGAATGCATATGAGAGAAGAATAGAAGGCAGAGGAGCGTTTGGGGGGGAATGGACAGGGATAAGACCCAGGTGGTCCTCTTGTCAGGGTGGGGTTCGTACCAACTGCTCGGCTTAGACTGTGCAGTCTAAGAGGATGACTGACTACAAACAAGGGATACAGCTGTGGAGGATTAAACAGAGAGTAATCATATGTAAGATACATTCCTTTCATCTGTGTAAACTATATAGATACTTTAGTTAATTGTCGTTAGCCTGTTGCATATACTCTATTTTTTGAGTGAATTAATTGTTGCATATACTATATATTTTTAGTGAGTTAATTGTAAATAATAATAATATTTACCCAAGATAAACAAGTTCGACTCTCGCCCGCTGTTTTTCCGGTCCCAGAGTTTATTGCCGTAACCGATCATACAACTCATCACCTCTCCATCAAACGTCACCACACAGCCACCACTGCTTAAGCACAGAGACACATTTAGAAAAAGGCATTTTTTTTATTTGGATCTACATACTTATGTTAGTACTAAGACTGCCACGGTTTATTGTGAAATCGTCTGAGAGTTGCTGAGTAAACTGATGCTCTATATTGGTGCACCCTTTTCGTGAGCTTACAAGAACTTAGATTTCTAATTATTATAATGCTTATGAAATCCATCATATAATAAAAGATTACTACAATGTTGACCACTTTATTACATGGGCCTTCACAGTTATGAGCTATTGTGAACAGTGCTACATGAATAATAATGATTTAAAAAATTATACTGTAATCGTGTTGAGTGTAAATCGTTTTCCTGAGGTGGACCGGTGGCTCAACAGTTACGTTAGAACCCTGATCTGGTACCGTTGAGTTCCGGTAGTCGAATCTAGGCAGTCACTTGTGATGGAGCGAGGTTCTCAAGTGTATCGAGTTGACAGTCTTGTGCTGGTTACCAACACCGACGCAAAAATTCCATCACGTAAAATTTGGTTACGCGCAGTTTGACTAAATTCGAGCTCTGAAAATTGAAAATGAATCTGTTTGACTGCTGTCCGACGTATTACTCTCAGTGGCAGAGTAGCTTGTAGAGTGCTGCCCTCTACCCTGTGGACCAGTGGTCACTTGAAGGGATTTTTAAGTGGTGGATCTGTGATATCCACTTCCACGGGCTGTTCTCTCAACATAAAGGTTTTCACTGCCCTGGGAGACATCAAAAATTGATTATTCATCTCATAACATGGTCAGGATATAAGTATGGAAAAAGACGAACACGTTTTTTAAAAGTATAACTTGTGTTCCAGTCTGAATAAAACTTATTTTAACACACACGTAGCTAAAAGACTACTGAAATACATGTTTTCACATGATTTACACAAACTATGATGTAGCACATCTAAATAAGTATTTTCTAAATTTTAAAGGCCAACAGTATATAGCCTGGTGACTGTATTTTTGGTAGCCATGTAACGATTTATCGATTGAAATTGATTCTTACGTTCCTGATAAATGTGGTTCTAAATAATTTTGAGGCAGACAATACAAACGATACAAAACAAATGTAAAACGCAACGTGATTTGGATTACATCAGAGAGCTGAGCTTACATTGCCAAGAATCGAGAATGCCGGCAGCAGCAGCAGCAGCAGCCGACAACACTCTCATTGAAAAAGTGAGAAGCACAGTTCAGTTCCTGAAAAAGCTCCTCAAGCACATGGATTGAGGCGTCCGACTTGGTGACGAACACCACATGGACAACCCAAAAAGACCGGAGAGGCAAAAACAAGCATCGGCTGTCGAATCGTGACGCCGCATTACGACAACTCAATGAATCGTTACATGCTTAGAACTCATCCCCAGGATGTTTTGCATTGCTGCAAGATGGTGAGCGTTGCGGACGGGCAGGGCTGAGCGTCGCGGCAACTCGCCGCTCGCTCATCTCGTGAGCTTCTGCAGGTGCTTGATGGCCGGGGGCACCGCCAGCGTGCCTTCGCCTTGCGGGTGCAAATAGTTCTTGAGCTTGTCGTGGGCTCCCATGATGCACGCGTTCACCTCGGCCAGCAGGTCAGCTCCCAGCGCCTCCTCGGTGCGGGCACGCCAGGCCACCAGAAGTGGGTGTGGTGCCAAGGGGTCGTGTCCGCACGCGACGGGCTGTCACGCCAGACAAGACGGATGTTATTGGCAGGCGGCGGAAATATAAATTACCTTCGCCGAGTCAAAGGTCAATGCGGCCGTGACCTTTGCTTCAAAGGCGGTGACCTGCCTGAGCGGTATCGTGTCTGCCATTTGCTGTCGAAGTTCACGGTTCGAACTCAATGACCACCCCGGTTAATACTTGTAAATAGGATGTTAAAGATGCCGTGATGTCATTTGAATAAAGAGTTGAGGCAATGTGTGCCGATATCGCGGCCCAAATTTTGCCGAATTTGATAACTTACAAATCACTTAATAGCGTAAACCACGTAGCTGCATCGCCCCCTATTGGCAGACCACGACTCGTCTGTGAAACAGCGTTTTTGTGATACCCTCGTGCTGGAAGAATGGCGCAAATACCAAATGTCCTCAATTACTATTGTTAGAATTATCATTGCAAGACATGCTGTATAAAACACAAAATTCACAACCAACTATTGTGTCATGAAAACCTTTCCAAGTCTGATTATGCCACGCTTATCAGTGACAGCCAATTGGCCGTGCTTATGTTCACCTGTGGTAGAAGCCGTCTGCTCAAACTCCGCACGTGTTAAATAAATTGCGAGATCGTAAGAATCCGGCGACGACCTCAAAACGGTGAATTGGCTTGAGCGAGGTCACCTGCATGAGCTCGCAGAGTGCCAGGATATCGGCCACCGAGATTTCCTGGCCGCACAGGAAGGGCTGGTCCTTCAGGAACTTGCGCTGCATGGCGACGAGTGTGTTCTCCAGGTCCTCCAGGGCCTCTTTGACCTTCTCGGGCTCCACCGGCTCCCTCGTGTATATCGGGATCAGCACCTGCAGCACGACACGATGAGCCACGCGCCGCGCTGGGTTCACACTCACACGCTGCAAACGATCTGTGCGTTCATGTGTACTGCACTGTGTGGTTTATTTTCTTTATGGGATGCATTTAAAATATATATATTTGTTTTACTCATTTCTCTAAAACTTATTTTTGTGTTTAGTTTGTTGTCCTTCCCCAGCACCTTCCATTAGTACGGTTGGCTACGTACGGTGCGAAAGAAGTTCAGCTTGTATACGTACATATTGCACCGCAGGGAGTTATTGACTGAATTCATCCACCTCCCAACCTCACCCGTTCCTCTCCAGTATGTTTGAGACTGCGTGAAGATGTAAAGGTGCAGCCCTGAAATTTCCCGCTCGCACCATTGCTGGCAGATGGGCCTCCACACTAAAAGGTGTTGTAGAGAGGCCCCCCCCCCCCACCTCTAGAGGTGTGTTTGTGGCTACTCTTTCGAGGTGATAACAATCAAAATTCCACAAAGATAAACTTAATAAAGCAACTTGCTGTACTGCCATGTCTTGACCACCTCACAACCCAGTGAGATTTGGGAGTTTCACAAATCTGCTTTGCACCAATCCACCAACCCCTTGCCTCCGAAGCGCCGCTGGAACGCAGGCATGCAACGACACGCGCGGCTCAAATAATGATGTGTTTTTTGGTTGTGCCACGTATTGTACACCCAAGGGGTTGAACTGCATGCTGTATCACCCACAAACACAGAGCCACACAGCACAACTGCCAAAACGTACGCAGGAACAAAGACTTTTGGTTAAAGCAGCGTACGTCCTTTTGTGTTTATGTAATAATTTCAACTTATAACGAGCACAGTATACGCTCACTGTCGAAAGTGAGAGAATAACTCTGGAGGCATAAAGAACCGCAGACGGAGCAGGAAGGCAGCCAGGTGGTGAGCCGTAGCCAGAAATGGCCCAAGCTTAGGTGTTATTGGCCAATTAATAAGCGTGTACGCAGTTTATTACAGTGTTCTTATTACAGTGAACTTTCACCTGAAGCCCTCCCGTCATGACTCGCAGACCTCGACATTGGCATTTATCTCCTGAACACGTGGGCCATACCCTACATTAGAATAGGGGAAGAGAGAGAACTAGTTTGGGCTGTGATGCGCAAACACTACGGACCGCCACACTCGCCCTCGTGTATTCGACGGGAGAGGATTGCTCACCTGTGTGTGGACGCAGCACTCACACTCGTGTTATTAACACACACCTGAACATCGCAATGCGTGTCATCTCAGGTACACTGAAGTCGACGCCGAACCAGTGGGTCCCAGTGCTCGCCCCACATCGCTCCGCCGCAAATCCGTCGTGAAACAGCGGCCGTCCGGGAGTACCAAATAAATTCTCGTTAACCCCCGCACCTTCCGATACATAGGGACGTGAACCCAGTGCCGCCTGGTCGCTTAAAATCACGCCACCCCTTCTGGATCACAGCAGCCTCACTCCATGCCACAGATAAAAATGAAGGCGAGAGATGGAAGCAAGTCTGAACTGCAGCCGATGTCAAAAGTTAACGTCTCATACAGGACCCTACCGTGGAACCTCCCGGTTTCAACCTTCCACGCCGCCAATGCTCGACCATTAACTGAATCAGGACCGGGTATGGCCGATGCAGCCACCTGATGCACGAATCCCAAACGATCGACCACATTGTTTAACAGCTGCCTTCTTTACTCCTTTAAAGGAGGAACGGACGAGATCCACTCTGCGTCTGAAAAGACAATTGAGTGATTAACAAATCTAAAATTACATATTTAATCTGCTGCTATGAATGCATATGAGAGAAGAATAGAAGGCAGAGGAGCGTTTGGGGGGGAATGGACAGGGATAAGACCCAGGTGGTCCTCTTGTCAGGGTGGGGTTCGTACCAACTGCTCGGCTTAGACTGTGCAGTCTAAGAGGATGACTGACTACAAACAAGGGATACAGCTGTGGAGGATTAAACAGAGAGTAATCATATGTAAGATACATTCCTTTCATCTGTGTAAACTATATAGATACTTTAGTTAATTGTCGTTAGCCTGTTGCATATACTCTATTTTTTGAGTGAATTAATTGTTGCATATACTATATATTTTTAGTGAGTTAATTGTAAATAATAATAATATTTACCCAAGATAAACAAGTTCGACTCTCGCCCGCTGTTTTTCCGGTCCCAGAGTTTATTGCCGTAACCGATCATACAACTCATCACCTCTCCATCAAACGTCACCACACAGCCACCACTGCTTAAGCACAGAGACACATTTAGAAAAAGGCATTTTTTTTATTTGGATCTACATACTTATGTTAGTACTAAGACTGCCACGGTTTATTGTGAAATCGTCTGAGAGTTGCTGAGTAAACTGATGCTCTATATTGGTGCACCCTTTTCGTGAGCTTACAAGAACTTAGATTTCTAATTATTATAATGCTTATGAAATCCATCATATAATAAAAGATTACTACAATGTTGACCACTTTATTACATGGGCCTTCACAGTTATGAGCTATTGTGAACAGTGCTACATGAATAATAATGATTTAAAAAAATTATACTGTAATCGTGTTGAGTGTAAATCGTTTTCCTGAGGTGGACCGGTGGCTCAACAGTTACGTTAGAACCCTGATCTGGTACCGTTGAGTTCCGGTAGTCGAATCTAGGCAGTCACTTGTGATGGAGCGAGGTTCTCAAGTGTATCGAGTTGACAGTCTTGTGCTGGTTACCAACACCGACGCAAAAATTCCATCACGTAAAATTTGGTTACGCGCAGTTTGACTAAATTCGAGCTCTGAAAATTGAAAATGAATCTGTTTGACTGCTGTCCGACGTATTACTCTCAGTGGCAGAGTAGCTTGTAGAGTGCTGCCCTCTACCCTGTGGACCAGTGGTCACTTGAAGGGATTTTTAAGTGGTGGATCTGTGATATCCACTTCCACGGGCTGTTCTCTCAACATAAAGGTTTTCACTGCCCTGGGAGACATCAAAAATTGATTATTCATCTCATAACATGGTCAGGATATAAGTATGGAAAAAGACGAACACGTTTTTTAAAAGTATAACTTGTGTTCCAGTCTGAATAAAACTTATTTTAACACACACGTAGCTAAAAGACTACTGAAATACATGTTTTCACATGATTTACACAAACTATGATGTAGCACATCTAAATAAGTATTTTCTAAATTTTAAAGGCCAACAGTATATAGCCTGGTGACTGTATTTTTGGTAGCCATGTAACGATTTATCGATTGAAATTGATTCTTACGTTCCTGATAAATGTGGTTCTAAATAATTTTGAGGCAGACAATACAAACGATACAAAACAAATGTAAAACGCAACGTGATTTGGATTACATCAGAGAGCTGAGCTTACATTGCCAAGAATCGAGAATGCCGGCAGCAGCAGCAGCAGCAGCCGACAACACTCTCATTGAAAAAGTGAGAAGCACAGTTCAGTTCCTGAAAAAGCTCCTCAAGCACATGGATTGAGGCGTCCGACTTGGTGACGAACACCACATGGACAACCCAAAAAGACCGGAGAGGCAAAAACAAGCATCGGCTGTCGAATCGTGACGCCGCATTACGACAACTCAATGAATCGTTACATGCTTAGAACTCATCCCCAGGATGTTTTGCATTGCTGCAAGATGGTGAGCGTTGCGGACGGGCAGGGCTGAGCGTCGCGGCAACTCGCCGCTCGCTCATCTCGTGAGCTTCTGCAGGTGCTTGATGGCCGGGGGCACCGCCAGCGTGCCTTCGCCTTGCGGGTGCAAATAGTTCTTGAGCTTGTCGTGGGCTCCCATGATGCACGCGTTCACCTCGGCCAGCAGGTCAGCTCCCAGCGCCTCCTCGGTGCGGGCACGCCAGGCCACCAGAAGTGGGTGTGGTGCCAAGGGGTCGTGTCCGCACGCGACGGGCTGTCACGCCAGACAAGACGGATGTTATTGGCAGGCGGCGGAAATATAAATTACCTTCGCCGAGTCAAAGGTCAATGCGGCCGTGACCTTTGCTTCAAAGGCGGTGACCTGCCTGAGCGGTATCGTGTCTGCCATTTGCTGTCGAAGTTCACGGTTCGAACTCAATGACCACCCCGGTTAATACTTGTAAATAGGATGTTAAAGATGCCGTGATGTCATTTGAATAAAGAGTTGAGGCAATGTGTGCCGATATCGCGGCCCAAATTTTGCCGAATTTGATAACTTACAAATCACTTAATAGCGTAAACCACGTAGCTGCATCGCCCCCTATTGGCAGACCACGACTCGTCTGTGAAACAGCGTTTTTGTGATACCCTCGTGCTGGAAGAATGGCGCAAATACCAAATGTCCTCAATTACTATTGTTAGAATTATCATTGCAAGACATGCTGTATAAAACACAAAATTCACAACCAACTATTGTGTCATGAAAACCTTTCCAAGTCTGATTATGCCACGCTTATCAGTGACAGCCAATTGGCCGTGCTTATGTTCACCTGTGGTAGAAGCCGTCTGCTCAAACTCCGCACGTGTTAAATAAATTGCGAGATCGTAAGAATCCGGCGACGACCTCAAAACGGTGAATTGGCTTGAGCGAGGTCACCTGCATGAGCTCGCAGAGTGCCAGGATATCGGCCACCGAGATTTCCTGGCCGCACAGGAAGGGCTGGTCCTTCAGGAACTTGCGCTGCATGGCGACGAGTGTGTTCTCCAGGTCCTCCAGGGCCTCTTTGACCTTCTCGGGCTCCACCGGCTCCCTCGTGTATATCGGGATCAGCACCTGCAGCACGACACGATGAGCCACGCGCCGCGCTGGGTTCACACTCACACGCTGCAAACGATCTGTGCGTTCATGTGTACTGCACTGTGTGGTTTATTTTCTTTATGGGATGCATTTAAAATATATATATTTGTTTTACTCATTTCTCTAAAACTTATTTTTGTGTTTAGTTTGTTGTCCTTCCCCAGCACCTTCCATTAGTACGGTTGGCTACGTACGGTGCGAAAGAAGTTCAGCTTGTATACGTACATATTGCACCGCAGGGAGTTATTGACTGAATTCATCCACCTCCCAACCTCACCCGTTCCTCTCCAGTATGTTTGAGACTGCGTGAAGATGTAAAGGTGCAGCCCTGAAATTTCCCGCTCGCACCATTGCTGGCAGATGGGCCTCCACACTAAAAGGTGTTGTAGAGAGGCCCCCCCCCCCACCTCTAGAGGTGTGTTTGTGGCTACTCTTTCGAGGTGATAACAATCAAAATTCCACAAAGATAAACTTAATAAAGCAACTTGCTGTACTGCCATGTCTTGACCACCTCACAACCCAG